TAAAAAGGTGAGTTCAGTTGCGCTTTTTGTACGCGCTGCCTAAAACTAAAAAAGAGTATGCAAATATTCATGAATCGTAAGCGCGAATTCGACAGCCATTCCGAATATTTTTGGGATAGAAAAAAAAGATGAATCGCTTGAAAAAAAATGTAATGTGAAGTTACATCAGCCCCAATAGGAAATATTTGCCACAGTTCAAAGGAAAATGAGAAAATCATTATCTGACCCTATTAAAATTTACGTATACGTTTTGGTTTGATGAAGGTTCAGTTTTTTTTTTCGCTGCGTTTCGTAAGTGAAATTTTCCATTGCTATCTACGGCTGACGAATTTCCCAGCTGTGCAGGCCCCGCCCCCGCTTTGATGACGTCACGGCTGTGGGCGGGTCGTGCCGATACAAAGGTGGTGCGTGCGGGCCGAGCTGGTGTCAGAGCTGCTCAGCGCGCCGCGCCGCGGCCCTCAGCGTGGTCGGGTCACGTCAGCAGAGGGAGGCGAGACTCCGCAACGGTACGTGAAAAGTCACACGCATACACACAACATTTTTGCATGTACACAAGAGTAGTAGTACACGTGTAATAAATGCATCTACTTAAGTGGAAATTCACATTTCAGTTACGTCATAATCAAGTACCTTGACCTTTCGCACAGAAAACCGCCGCCAATCTGCTGCCGTCAAACTCCTGTTAACTCGCGCCGTGCTGGGAGGGGGGGGGGCTTACCCCTAAGGTTTTTGGCAGACCTTAGCGTGCATCTATTCTGCCCATGTGAAAATTTCAGACCCGGGTCGATCAAGGTCAGGTCACCAGTTCTAGTCAAGTAACCTCTTCTTAGAAAAAGTTCCGATGCTCGCCATAGCCATGCCGACAGAGCGATCGCTTTGAAACTTCAGGCGATTGACAAACATTAGATAAAATAATGTATTATAAATTATAATGTATTAGAGAAAAAAGACAATTTATAAAATGGGTATCTCGGAATTTTGATATCGGTAACCATATGGTCAGGTCAATTTTGTGACATCTCCATTGTAAGGCGGAAATTGAAATGCACCTTTTCGAGACGAATGTCAAACTAAACACTCTCAAACATCGGATAACAGGTGACATGAATCATGTTATCTATGCAGGTGAAAATGGCACACTGATTCGGAAAATTGCACCCATGACCTCTCCTTATCTCCCTTAGGTCATCTCAGGTCACGAAAAGTTTCAGCAGTTTTTCAGTAACTTTTGAGATACCTAGATATATACTAGCGCGATGAAAACACCTGAGCTGAGATAAGCTCAACGATACGGATCGACTTTTATGCGAATGGCCTTTTCCGGTCAGGTCATATCCTGATCTTAGGTCAAATTCTTAAAACGACCTTTCAAGGTCCATTCGACGCGTCTTGAAGAGAGGGACACGGTGCTGGCAAAAGCCATGTCGTATAGGTATTCCTGAGTAAAATGTTTTCAGAAACGCTTTTCGTAAAAAACGGCTATTTTATGAGTATTTCCCTCAAAAGCCTAAACCGTTGATTTTAACTCGAATCTGAGGGCGGTCTGCAGAAAGAACGTTTAATGAGTTATCGAATGCGCTTTTCTGTGGCGCTGTAGTCTTATTGGCTCCCGAGTTTTGCCGCCGTTTGTCAAAAATTGTTGAAATAGGCAAAAGTTTGACCCTTGATGACCACTAGTGACCTGGTCTTTCCCTGACTTGACCTAGAAAAACGGCTAAGTAAATATTTTAATTACTTTTGAGTTTTGACGCTCTTTTCAATACCGCTTACCTTACCGCAAGTCACTATATACCTGGCCCAGGAGCAGAGTTAGACGGGGGGGGGGGGGGCGGTGAAACGCTTCCTCCCCAGCACTGCATGGAAAACTCAGAACACCAGAACGGTCGCGGGTTAAGGCTGCCCCACACTGGAACTCGCATGCGGGTTGCGAGTTTGCGGGTTTTGAGTTTGCGGGCATAATACTAATTCATGAGTGATTAGACCGTTCCCTTATGGTAACTTCATGAATGCAGTGAAGCCGGTGCACCTTCAGAAACTTACATATAGTCGCAATACCAGCGCAACGAACCAAAATTCGACTCCAACGAAAAACCCGCAAACCTCGCAGAACTCGCAGACCTGGCAGCGAGGAAAATCGGAAGTTGACTCAAAATCTACTTTTGGAATGTGATGCAAAGTCGCTCGCAAGCTAAAAACACGCAGACTCGCTTGTTAGATGGTAGTGTGGGTCACTCAGCCGATTGTATCTTTTGATTTTGAAGAAACCCGAAAATCCAAAAACTCGCAACCCGCATGCGACGTCCAGTGTGGGGCGGCCTTTTAAGAGACGTTGATCTCGTTGCATGTGTCATGACCCAGAGGCGCTTGGCGGCCTGCACTCGCCGTTTACTGCTAAGTGTCGAAATCTAAACGAATGGCGAGCCCGCTGTTTTTTCTCAAAGTTACTCTGCCAATTACCTAGGTCATTAATTTCAGAAAATTGCTTCTTCGCTGCTCATTGCCTGTTAAAGCTTCGTTTTTGTATCCGTGCTAACTAGTTAAAACGTTTGAACAGGATCATTTTTCTTTCGTCTGGTACCAATGTTGGCAGATTCAAGATTGTTTCTCACTTTTTTCCTTGTAATTTTGAACATTCCATTGTTAATGCACGTACTGTCTTCATAGTCGCTAACGGGGAAGGAGGGGGGGGGGGGGGGCGGGTCAATTAACCTCTGATCGAGCTAGAGCTTCGCAAAAAGAGCGCACTTACTTATTGCTCGTAAGAAGAGGAAACCTTATGACGAGAAACGCTGAGTACGAGGTTCTTAACCCGCGCACCGACGGGGGGGGCGGATATCCGCCCCCCCCCCTGAGGTTTTTCGCGAATAGCGGGAAAACCGCGGCGCGTAGCGCCGCGAAATTTTGTATGACTATTTGCTCATCAATTTTACACATGGTGTGCAAGTTTGAACCTCCTACCTTTCAAGGTCAGGTCACCAGGTCACTTTGAATGACCCAACCTCAAGTCACTTTTTTGCAACTTTGTCACCGTGCCAGAGCTACAGTAGATGTCGGAGGCCTTTGAAAGTCGCAGGATGTTATTAGGTCATTAGTAGCTACAATTTGTATATCTCGGAATTTTGATATCGGTGACCTAAGGTCAGGTCAATTTCGCGACCTCCCCATTATAAGTCAATGGGGGAAAAATCAACTCCCTGTTTTTACCACTAAAACGGGTCGGAATGGCCCCATATACCATACATGACTTCATATACGATCAACCTTCACTACCTTGAGGTCTGTTTTGCTGTTGGGCAACTGTGAGGTCATGTGACGTCATCAAAGGTCACCAAAGGTTTTTGGCCAATAACTCCGTACAGGAACAAGATACAGACGCGTGGATGGTCTCATTGTGTTCAGCTCGTCAAGACGCATCGAATGATATACATGATGACCTCGAGGTCACGTGACCTGAGGTCAACCTTTGACCTTGACCTTTCGAGGTCAACATATATATCATTCGATGCGGATTGACGAGAGGATCACGATGATGCCCTTAGTTTGTTCCTATCTTGACTAATTCGAAAGTTATTCGAGAAAAACTCTCTCCATATTTAGCGCCGCCATTTTGACTTTTTCGACCCCTGTGACGTCATCTTTGACCTGACCTGAAAATGACCTTAGTAAAAATTGTAGATCTTGACCGTGCGTATCCGATGCCGTTTACCGCTTGTCGCTATCTTGCTTCGTTCTCGAGATCTCAGGGGGGGGGGCGGTCATCCGCCCCCCCCCCCCCCCGTCGGTACTAAGTTGGCGCAGACCCCCGTCGGTGCGCGGGTTAAATCCATGCTATCGAAATTTGTAAGCCCATTTTCAGGTGTTTGACCTGACATTGACCCGACCTGTGACCTCGAAATTCAAATTTCAAATACTCATTCGAAGCGTCTCGTCACGTTCTTTCGTTTGTCACCTCGAGCGTTGCGCTGTGCTTATTGGTTCTCGAGCTGCGGCTGGCGTTTAGCCACCCCCCCTCCCCCCAGCAAACGGCGTTTGGCGAAATATCCTAGCAACTGACGGGTTAAAGCCTACGAATTTCAACAAGGAAGTTGTCAAACAGATGCAGATTAGAATGAGTTGATGTATTGGTGTTGGTGGCTGATTCTCTCAGTATACATACTTGTACTACCATCGTTTATCTCGCAACGAGTTGTCAGCCAATTCGCCGGTTGCCAAGCACTCGCCACTCGGTGGAGCTGCAATTTACAAGTCTGAGTTGCGTTACCCCTCCTCCTCATATACCTTGTCCAGCTCGTACCTTTGTAATCGTTTCGTCCTGTGACGGTGGCCCGATCCAGCCGACGTGACGGTGAAGTGTGGGCGTCATTTCTCTGGGATTTCGGCGGGCGGTTCGACCGGACGTGGGTGGGAGTTGGGGAGGGGGTAGATGGACGTCCCTCCAGCGCCGTCCACACTCGGCAGGCCACTGTCTAGTGTCCACACTCCACCGCCGGCAGTGTCCACACTCAACGGTCGGAAATGCCCGGTGCCTGTCGGCCAGTTGATAAGGCGCGATATTTCCAGTGGTGGCCCCGGCTACCTACTCCCTAGAGAGCTACTCAGCCCCACGTCAGCTCGCCCCCTCCTCATGATAACTGCTAGCAGACTAATGGTGAGCGAGAGCTGGTGTGCGGAAGTGCTAGGAACTGATATGATATGGGGGACTGATAAGAGGCCTGGAATGGACTAAGATGCAGGGCGAACCAGGGCTCAGGAGTCAATTTTCGGACGCTTTATGTAGCTTACTGACACCACGCCCACGTGTCTCTCTTTTATCTGTGCCTCAGATGCCGAGCGCGCCGGCCGAGTTCCAGACCCAGAGACTCTGTAACTCTCGGCCACTGCAGTGCAGCTCACTAACCGTGTCTTTCTGTGTATGCCTCAGATGCCTAGCGCGCTGCCCGAGGTCCAGGACCCGGGAGCGCTGCAGCTAACTTATTGTATCTCTGCTGTCCGTGCCTCAGATGCCGATCGCGCCGGCCGTGCTGGTGGCACTGCTGCCGCTCTGGATCCAGGCCACGGTCGCCGCCGCTCAGATGCAGTTCTCCGTCGACTGGGCGCACGGCAAGCGCTCGGCGGTGCCGCCGGTGCCGTCGGGACCGGCGGGGCCGTCGGCACTGAGGCTGCTCGACGAGCTCGACTCGGGCGAGCTGGCCGTCCCGTCGGTCCACCAGCTGAGCGGCCCGCCGCCGAGCGGCCACCGCGGCCCGCGCCGATCCTGTGCCGTCGACGGCGCCGTCCTGCGCCAGGTCTTCAACGCGATCATGGTGAGCGGACGGCGGCAACGGGGACGAACCGAGTGATGGAGGCACGCGAGCCGGCGAGTCTCCACCGTGGTAGAGAGGCACCGAGGCCAACGACGGATACAAGATGGGATGCTCTTGGTTCGACACGAGTAAGGTGTCAGACACGTGCTCTTTGCTCACCGATTTGGCATCTTCTGGCACTGCAGTGGCGTGACCTTTATTGTCATTATTTTTTTTTTTTGAGAATCTTCTTATCTCTCCTAGACTGCAAGCTTTTAGGAGAGAGAAAGTAATGTCATCTTGTATAATATCTTACCAATTTCACAATACACGTGGGGACATCTTGGGATAATTCCAAGCCTAAGCAAAATATTCTCATTCCCATCGATGTAAATCGGTTATATAAAGCACTTCGTGCTTTCACATATACATAGGTTCTAATCTTAGCCACGTCGCGCGTCGCATGCGTTTCTTAGACAAGCGATACAATTATCTGCACGGAATTTGACGGCATAAATTTCACATAAAGCCTGACAAACGATTTCTGGACACAATGCTGGCTGCCTGGGACCTGAAATCCCTGCCTGTATGCTGGGATTTCTAAGGGACGGTTATTGAAACTATAAACAGTTCATCCTATCGACTCAAATGAGTCTCTGCATTTGGGGCTTAACAATGCAGGCATGGCTTTTTTACCGCACAGTCGTATTTTATCACCCGATACTGTCTCACTTAGCAAGGATAGAGACAGGAGTAGTGTTACCAGCTATCTGTAACTCAAAGTATGTACACTGAGCACCATAACGATATGACTACGATTCTCCCACCGCGCCGGCTCGACGCTTTGCATACATATCACGCAAGTTTCGTCATAAAATAATAATAATACGGCATTGTCACAGGTCTCATTTTTGCATTGCACGCAAAAAATATATAACAGTTAAAAGGTACGCGATTTAATGCATAACAAAGTAACTCAAAGTTAAAAATCACGGATACCGTTCAACGCATCGAAGTCAACCAAACATTTCTCAAGATATGAAGGGAGCGAATTCCCTCCCCCTCCCCCCGTCTCACAGTTAATGTACTTCCAGTAAAGGGGTTAAAGTATAACTTCTAAGGACTTTTTCCTTCCCATCAGTGTGTCCCAGTTAGTAAGTGACGTCAAGTTCAGTGTTTGAGATCCTCCGATCAAAGCAATGTCTGCGATTCTTTTTGCACTAGTCCGCGGCCTTTCTGATATCTTCCAAAAGAGAGCAGCAGTATCCGGGGTACCCAGTGGCAGAATTTTGTTCTGTACCTACAGCCAGAGCTCCCGTCTATTAGGGCACAATTGTTCAATATTGTTGGACATATTTATAAAATCTGATGGCGGAGAGCTACAAATAAAAAATAATGATTATCATATAATTCTGATATAGTTTGCTGCCCCTAAACTATGCATATCAGATTTAGATTATACCTACCTAATTAGGCATCATTTTTTATTTGCAACTCAGTCTTGGCTATCACATTTCACGAATTAGGGCACAAACTGCATTGGTGCAGAAATGCGGCTGTAAAAGTGCAACTTATTGATACACCAAACTCAGCTGGATCAGCTGTTTGGCTCGGTGGGACCGAACAGAGCTCGATACTCACAAAGTAGGCACCAGTGCCACCTGGGGGCGTGGGTAGAAGACTGTCGGTCGACGGTGTCCCGCTTGGAGGATGGCGAAACACGGAGCTTACGCTGCCGCGATTGAAATGCTTGCATAACAGTGTCTACTGTCTATGGCTGCAACTAGCTGCGAAAAGTGTATGCATGACATCAAAATCAATGTAAGGAAAAGTTGTATTTGTTTCCTGGTTGACACCCTGCCGTTGCTCTTCCAGCGGGAGGCGAACCGAGTTGCTGCCTGCCGGGTAAAAAGCAGCATCTATGATATCTACAAGACAACTTAGAGCTCCACTACGGCGACCGCCGAGAAAACACCGAGATCTCTGCGGACAGTGGCTGTCTGCTGGAGCTCTCAGTCAGCTGTGTGGAGTGCAGACAGCGCTGTCTGCCATGACAGGCCTCGGACGGTGGTCTGCAGACCACACAGACCACGGCTGAGACCGGAGACCGTCTGCGAGCAGTCTCAGCGGACCAGGGTCCAGACCCACCAAACAGACGGCCTCAGCCGGGCGGGAGTGTCCAGACTGCGGACGGTCTGAATGCGGTGGCCAATGGAGGATGTCTACCTACATACGAGGACCAGCTTCAGGCTGCCGGTATCCAGACTTTACATATCGACTGCATTCGGTGGATAATCACACCGCAGACAGCACCTCAGTCTGACTATGTAACTACTGCAGTGCTTATCTGCGACAAAGGGCCACCGGCTTCGATAACCAGTACTCAGGCGCGACAGATACCGACTGTGTGGTCATATGCAGGTTCAAATAACCGATTTCATCACGACAGATCGCGGGTGTCTGCCAGTGTTCCGTCGAGTTTTGTCAACAAAGCAGTACCCAACGACTCATTTGCGCAAAATGTAATAAAAATTCAATCACTCGGAGCTAGGAGAGCCCGCAAGGTCTCACGTAGGGCAGCAACACACCTGAGGTCATATTAGGTCAGCCCTCTATTCCGCTCGTGACACTAGCTGTCCTGATTTGACCTTTGTCATTTATCACAATCTTTAGTCAGCAATGCTTTGCTATTGGACATAAATTAGCCCCACAGTCCTCCTTTGTTTCTTTCATGTTTCGTTTGTGCAAATAAATCTCAGCATTCTACATCAGCAGGCATTTAAAAATACTAAAATCAGATTACATCAGAGGCTGTTTTATAATTCGACTCTCTGTCAAGCAAGTGAGCTGGGATTATATTTCAGTCATAAAGTCAGAACCCCTCGTTGGTATTATGTTATCGTAAAATTGTTTCATTTCTTAGGTGAAATATCACTGCGTTATCTAACACATGTGATTGTGATGCATATCGCGAATGAAAGTCATTAGCTGATCGTGCATTTACGGAAAATATTATTAGAGGGCTAAACAGCGTTTGTAGCCGGTTTTCATGCCGTCTATCGTGTGTGTTTAACGCGGTCCACTTGTGCTGCGTGTTGATCCCTGGACTCTGTAGGTACCTAATGTTGTTATTTTGGTAACCCACCCCGTGCCAGGGTTGGAGATGTTCCTTTTCCTTCTTCCGGTTCGGCTTCAAATGGAGAAAAACAGTACAGCAGCACACATGTTTCCTTATTTACTGGCATATTTTCATAACATTTAAATGTATTTGCTTTTTAATTTCCATAACTACACAACAAGAATTGTGTCTTTGCAACGGTGGTAACCTTGAACAAATTTATTGATGTGTGAAGAGGTAAGACCTGTATGCATATATAATACATACCTATATGTTTTGTGTTAGGTTTGAACACCTTAATGACCAAAACTAACGCACTTGGCCACACAAACATGGCCACTGTTATAAGTTTATGACTGGCTCTGGAAAGAACACAGCTCTTTGGAAGCGATTTTGCTGACATCCTGTCAAACTAGTAAAGTAATCTTGGTCAAACTATCCATAAAAAGGTTCGGCGATTGTTCTCGCATAGCACAGCCTGACTTCATCTTCTTGACAATATTTGCGGCAATATATCAGGAAACGCTTAATTCGGGAAAATAACTTTGACGTGACTTGTCTTGTAGATGCCCCGCCTATCGACGGTGTCATTCTCGCAACTCCTCGAGATATCCGCAACAATTCAGATCAAATTTACGTCCACGTTGACCCAGGAGGAAATTCAAATTTTTCACCTTTAAGTTTTCCTAAGTTAAGTTTTAAGCTCCTGATAGAAATTAAGTTTAATTAAGTTATTTTGTTGTGTTAACGGCCAGGAAACCGTCAAAATTACTTTTAAACGAGACGAAGCGAGGCGCTCTGCTAAACGAACCGAAACGAAAAGATCCAGAAAGAAACGAACCCGACCAACAAGCCGACAAGACGACACGACTTATTCCGTTTAAATTTGGACAGTTTCAGTCGAACGACAAGCTTGATAGTTTAACTACTTAGAACCTTGTTCGTCTTTCGTCCTTTTTTCCGTCAATATATGTAAATAAAGCTCGTAAAGGTTTTTGATGGGGTTTCAATGAGCTGGCTGTTACATAAGTTTAAAAGTAATTGTTTTGTTTTGGTAAATTTAGAAGTCTTTTTCAATCGAACGTTAAGTCGACATGGAAATGACTACCAAGGACATCAAAGAAGAGCTTAAGAGAAGAGGACTTTCGAAGAAGGGAAGAAAGGAGGAACTTAGAAGACGGTTGGATAGTGCAAAACTCGAAGAGAATGCGGATGATGTAATATCAACGACCTCATACGAATCTCTATCATCTTCTAGTATGATATCGCATGTGGCTTCTGAAATTGCTAAAAGAGCAGAACTGAAAGTTAAAATGACGCTTTTAGAGGAGAAACAAAAACTTCAAATTGAAGAGCTAGAATTACAAATGAAAAGGGCGAAATTAGAGTTAGAAGAACAAATCGCTGCCTCAGAAGCGCGAGAACAGGCGTTAGCTTGTCAAAGCGAAACTTCAACTAGTGCACGAAGTCATGCATCGCGAAAAACAAGCTGTGAACGAGAATGCCGGTCAACCAACAGGACAGAAGAATTATTGGCCATTTCATCTTTACCGACCCAGCAAAAGAGAAACCTTTTACCGCCATCAACGATACAGTGTTTCGAGGGTGATCCATTAAAATTCAGAGGTTTTATTCGCGCCTTTGATTGTCGAATCGCCGAACGAACTGACGACTTTTCCGAACGACTACATTTTCTCGAACAATTTACGAAAGGGAAGCCAAACGAAATAGTGCGAAGTTACATGAACATCGACCCATCGAAGGGATATATCGAAGCAAGAAAGGCAATGGAAAGAAAATATGGAGATGAATACAAAATATCTGCGGCTTATATAGAAAAAATCTTTCAATGACCATATATGAAGCCGAGCGATGTAACTTGTCTTGATGACTTTGCTATCCTTTTACGAAGCTGTTTCAACGCAACCGAGGAAATATCTGCATTAAGTGAAGTTAATCATCCCAAAAACTTGCAAATCATTATAAGCAAGCTCCCTTACTCACTACAAGAGCGCTGGCGTCGTAGGGTGTACAGTTTTACGGAAGAAGGAAGAAGATTGAACTTTGTCGATTTAGTCGAGTTTGTAGAACGAGAAGTACAAGTCATGACAGACCCTGTTTTTGGAACGACCGAAATGGCGTGTTTAGCAAAAAATAGAAGAGTCGCGCATACTTGCGATGAAGAAAGGTCAAGAAATAGGAACGCTTTCAATATCAAAATGGAAGACAAATTCCGCAAAGATCGTAATTGCCCATATTGTAATCTTACACATGACATTGAAAATTGCGAAGCTCTGAGGCAAAAGAGCACCGAGTTTCGATTAAAGGTAGTAAGAGAAAACAGACTTTGTTTCGGCTGTTTAATGAGCGGTCACATTTCGAAGCAGTGTCAAAATCGTAAAACATGTCAAAAATGTTTTAGGAAGCACCCCACCATCCTGCATGCGGAAGAAACAATCCAAACCAAGAATGTACAAGAATTAAGCGATACGGCTCAAGAAAATACTACAAAGTCTGACGTCTCAAAACACGAATCCAACCAAATGTGTTATAGTGTCATTGACGACCAGGCCGGACCTGTAATGTCTGTGATCCCAGTGGTGCTAAACGGCCCAAATCAGCGAAGTGTCGAAACGTACGCATTTCTCGACAACGGCAGCTCTGCCACGTTTGTGACGAGGCGCGTCGCAAATGAGCTTGGCTTATCTGGCGACGATACTACTCTTACCTTGACAACGGTAGAGCGAGAAAAGAGTAACCTTCGGAGTACTATTTTGACAGGATTACAAATATCCGATATCGACGGACATAACACGTTGCCTTTGCCTCCCGCATTTACAATTAACAAGATTCCACTATCAAAGGATGATATACCAGATGCACAATTGTTAAATAGTTGGAAGCATCTCCACAAAGTTAAAATCTCTGAACTAGAAACAGAGCACATTGGGATTCTGATTGGGTGCGACTGTCCCAAGGCCATGGAACCATGGGAAGTAATACATAGTCAGAACGGCGGCCCATATGCGGTGAAGACGGTTCTCGGTTGGACGGTGGTAGGGCCAAGATCTCCATGGAAACCGTCACAAAGTAATGCAAGGAAAGTCAATCATACTGAAGCGCATCACAATGAAATTGAGAAACTATTAGTTTCTATGTACAACAGTGATTTTACAGAAAGGGAGAACAGTGAACTTATCTTATCTCAAGAAGACAAGAAATGGGAATCAATGGTTAGTTCAAGCATCAAAATGATTCATGGTCGTTACGAAATACGACTACCCTTTAGAGAAAACTCAACAAAACTTCCAAATAACAGAAAACTGGCTGAAAGGCGAGCTGAAGGGCCGAAAAAAACGATTCATGAAAAATCCCGTTATGCACGCCCGTTACGCTGACTACATGAAACAGCTTTTGATCGACGGTCACGCCGAACTCGCTCCGAAGTTAGCGACTGATAACGACCCAAGTAAAACGATACAGGGGACATTTTGGTATCTGCCACATCATGGCGTGCAACATCCCTCAAAACCGGAAAAGACCAGAGTTGTCTTTGACTGTTCGGCGAAATACGGAGGAGTTTCTCTCAATGACCATTTACTTCAAGGCCCCGATTTGACAAATAGTCTTATTGGTGTTCTTTTACGGTTCCGTGAAGAAAAGGTCGCATTTATGGCTGACATTAAGGCCATGTACCATCAAGTTCGTGTACCAGTGGAGCAAGCCGATTACCTAAGGTTTCTCTGGTGGCCAAATGGCGCCATAGATACACAACTAGAAGAGTATCGAATGCGGGTTCATCTTTTCGGTGCTGTTTCGTCACCTAGTTGCGCAAATTTCGCTCTTCGACAAGCAGGAAAGGACTATTCAGCGGATTACGGAGGTTTAACGACACAAAATACCATTAACAGACATTTCTATGTTGATGATTGCCTGAAATCAGTCAGTACGGTCGAGCAGGCAGTTCAACTAATTCGAAACGTTAGCGTTGTCTGCAAGAAGGGTGGCTTTCATTTGACAAAGTTCGTTAGCAATGAAAAATCAGTCATTAAATCAGTTCCAGTGGAAGATAGAGCGTCAGACGAAAAAACCCCAAGTTTAACCCCAGCGTCACCATCAAGAGAGCGCGCCCTGGGCATCCTTTGGAACACAGAAACAGACACGCTATGCTTTAAGATGGCAGCTGAAGTAAACGCTAACACGAGACGTGGAATACTTTCAACCATCAGTTCTATTTTTGATCCACTTGGCTTCATTGCTCCAGTACTGATGAAACCGAAGATATTATTGCAGCACCTATGTAGATGCAAGATTAGTTGGGATGAAACGCTGTCAGAAGAAGCACACAGAAATTGGACCAGTTGGTTTCATTCAATGCATAGCCTTGCATGTTTCAGCGTTGAAAGGTGTTTCACACCAGCGAGCTTCAAAACGATAACGTCATGTCAAGTTCATCATTTTTCAGATGCCAGCGAAGTCGGATACGGAGCTGTTACTTATTTAAGAATACAGGACCAAGAAGGAAAAATACACTGCTCGTTTGTGCTAGGCAAGGCCCGGGTGGCTCCCGTCAAGGCCGTCACAATACCGCGACTGGAGCTAGCGGCTGCAACAGTTGCCGTTCGCCTGGGCGCGGTAGTTAAGAGAGAACTTGACATCCCTGTGGACAGTGTCACATACTGGACTGACAGCACGACTGTTCTACGCTACATCAACAATAAAACAAGCAGATTTAAAGCGTACGTAGCAAATCGAGTGGAAACCATTCTCGAATTATCTTCACCAAAACAATGACCTGCTCGCTAGTCGACGCCGCGCGCTTGCGGATACATCGGCTCCCGGCCGTGACCGGTACAAGGCGATAAACCGGCAGTGCCGAGCGGCGATCCGTCGTGATACCGTGGCGCATCTGGAGCGGGAGTGTAGGCGAGCTGGTCCATCCCAGATGTGGCGCGTGTTGCGTCCGATCATAGGCGACAGCAAGGGAACGCGCGAAGTCGTTCAAGTTACACCCGACGCACTAAATAGCTTCTTCACACAGATCGGTCGTGTGACTGCCGATAGCGTGCCGATGCCATCTCAGCCTGTAACTGTAAGATTGCCGCGTGTGCATACATGCCAATTTCAGGTGAGCACAGTTGACATTGAGACACTGTGGGCCGTAGTACACCACATGAAACCCTCTACATCGACCGGATCACATGGCATCAGCGTTCATATGTTACAGCGCTTTTTCCACGGCATTGGCCATGTTCTTCTCAACGTCGTTAACTCTAGCTTGACTTGTGGCGATGTACCCAGCTCATGGAAACATGCTTTGATCACACCATTGCCAAAACACACCAACGCCATCGAGCCAGCTGATCACCGCCCATTGTCCATTTTACCTGCCATCATGAAAGTCATTGAACGGATCGTCCAACAACAACTCATCTCTTATTTCCAGAACAATCATCTTTTTACGCCGAGCCAGCACGGATACAGAGCATCACACTCAACTGAGACTGCACTGTCCGTGGTGACTGAGCGCATTTACCGAGCGATGGACACTGGTCAAATAACTATTCTTATCCTGCTAGATTTATCAAAATGTTTTGATGTGGTCGATCACCAGCTTCTACTTAGGAAACTCACCTTGTACGGAGTTGACGTAGCATGGTTCTCCAACTATTTGACGGGACACACACAGCAAGTGAAAGTTGGTGACAGTCTGTCCGGTAGTCGATCAAACGATATAGGAGTATATCAGGGAGGCTCTCTAAGCTGCCTGCTTTACACAATTTACGCAAACGACATGTGCCTTCATTTAGAAGATGTAGAAATTCTTCAGTTCGCAGACGACACGCAACTGTTTCTGTCCGGTAACAAAAGTCAGCTGCCACAAATGATCAAAAAAACTTGAACGTGCCCTCGCGCGCTTATCCGATTGGTTCTGTGAAAACCGCCTGAGTGTGAATGCAAAAAAGACGCAGTTGATTACATTCG